TCATAATGTATCAATTTTTCCTTTAATTTATAAGCCTGAGGAAATTATTATAACTTTTCAGCATTAAACCTAGCTTGCATATGCAAAATTAAGTGTTTTAGCATTGAAATAATGTTAACATGGGAGAACTTGCTCATGTAGCCCTTTGTGTGTGATGCAATGACATCTACAATAATCTCTGCGTTTGACCATTATATTGTCTAATGTATGTTATTAGCAGTTTTTATAAAAATATAGTATGTCCTAAAAACACGAAGAGCTGCAGTCTAAACACTTTTCTGATGAAAAAATTTAAATAATTTAGCTTCAGTGCTGCTTTACATTTCTAAGGTTGTAAGGTTTGAAGGTTTAATTTAATGAGATCTGATATTGACAGTACATCTATTGTACGCACAAAACATATACAGCATGAATAAATTACATTTTTGTAAATGCATTTTGAAATAAGTCTATTAAATATGCAGAAGTATTTTGCTATCATTACCTCCTGCTCTGATGGTCTTAATGTAAGTCTTACCTTCAAAATCTGATTTTTTACCCAGTAGAACCAAAATACTATACATGGATTTTTCATATATTTTTCTGACATTTTACTAAAAAAAGCATTAGCACAAAAAATACACTTAGTGAACAGATATGGATTTTTTTTCTTCTCATACAGATTTTCTGGCTGTAAGTTAGGCGATCATTAAAATTAAATATGTGTAAATGTGAAAGTGAATCTAGGACTCTTCTAAATTATATTAGCTAAAAAATGCAAACACAAACAAAAGGTATCAGTCCCTAAAGATAAAGCTTGCACTGAAATAGTAACGTTTGCAGCCAAAACGGCATGATGCTGCTTAATTTTGTACTGTAACAACATAACTGTGCTTACAAAGATACAACAAAGATTGTTTCACACCATTTTATAGAACAAAAACAAATGCTACACTGCTATGAAGAACCTGTTTGATATAATCATGAATGCCATTTTCTACTCCATGGAAAACTTCTTGCATACAAGTATTAATTAATTCTCACAGTAATGAGTTGGAAATAAAATATAAAATGGCAAAATTTATATTTATGTGTCTTTAAAGCACAGAAAGATTTCATTCCTGGTAGACATGTAGTCAACTCACTAGTACATGAAAAAAGTAGATGAGGGAGAGAAAACAGCAAAATATAGACTATCCTACCTTTAGACATCAGTGGAGCTTCCCGTAAGTGCCCAAATCTTTGCAAGCAGGCCTAATTGCAGGACAGGCCAAATTAATAACACCACCACATCATAGTATTGATTTAGTAATTTGTCAATACCATGTGCTCTAATGCCAAGGCTAGACATTTAAATAAGACACTATATATATATCTTAAGCAGCTATCAGCCACTGGAAATATAGATAACTAAATTAAATTGCTTTCTAGTAAACTAATATGTAAAATTTTCAATGAAATCCAAAGACCTTGACGTAGATATACATACATAGCACAAGAGAACCTTTCCTACCAAACCATCTATTACAGTCGTTTTAGGAAAAAAAAAAAACAAAACAAAAAACAAAAAAAGGAAAACTTGCTCAACTAGCACCTCCATATGTCCATTGTAGTCATATGGAAACCATGTTACAAGAATGTTTTTAACGTTATTAACTTCTGTTATATTGGGATAGGAAAATTGCCCTTTCCACCATGATCCATCAGAATCTTTAGAAACTCTTTAACCTCTTGTGCCTTTTCTAGGGGAATAAACTGTCAGACTACATGAGTCTGAATTTAATCACAGTCGCGAATGATTGCATTTCCCATGACACAACATTAAAACTGAAAACCCTTAGTACAGAACTGTTCATGTAAACTGGCAGTTTATTCCTGTAAGAGACATTGGAGGGGGTTGAGTATTACTGAAATTTTAATGATCCTGTTCCTTAGAAAAAGGGCAAATTCTTCAGATCTATCAAACATAACCTGAACTGTCCCTTTATTGACCTTAGAGAAAAGAAACTGACCAAAGTTATAAACAAGATACCTGTATCTTGTTTTTCCTGTATTTTCATTGCTCGTAACATCTACAATAACTGAATCTGATGCTGTAGTTGAATGTCTAGCTGCCTTCATTGTCTTTCTGGGTTCACTGTAGCTTATTTCCAGTTGTAATAATTTGATAAACTGTGAGGACATTTACAAAATAGTAATGTGCAGAGGAAATAGTTGCTTGAGAAAGCCCCAAATCATCTTAGAAAGATAAAAGAAAAAAAAAAAGGGAAAAATCAAGATGTAAATTAAAATCCCTACATTCGTTACTAGTAGGTCCTTTTTATTTAGGATCCCAGCTCTACAGAGAATTGAATTACTGTGGTTTGCTAACCACAGCTAAAGTCACAATTAACATTAGATAAATATTGAGATAAAAGTAATAATTTTATTTATTTATTTATTTATTACTACCAAAAAAAGTTTAAGAAAAAAAATAAAAATTTGATTTCAGTCCCATTTCCTGTACACTGCTTGACTATGGTGGTGCAACTATTTATGAACTGTGCTGAGAAAATGAGCAGGGAAAATACGTGGTTAAAAAAAAAAAAAAAAAAACCTTTTCTGTAAAGGTTTGTAGGTTTACTTTTTTAAGCTAAATATTACTCTCTTGGGGTGGGTATTCCAGCCCATAGATGGAGGATTGGCAACTTAAGTATATGAGAGAAGCCATTTCAGCTTCTGAATTTGAGTTTTAGTGAACAATGTAAGTTGTTGATACGTCGATGAAGCAGGCTCTGAAGAGATGGAACTGCAGATGCTTTAGTCCCTGTGGTGTTTCCTACGGTGTCCCTTGGACAACCCACCATCCCCTTGTCCTCATCCAGTTCCTGTTGGGACAGCCTGTTCAAGCACTGATGCTCTCCCACGCAGTCAGATGCCAAAGCCAGCACACACTTCTACCTATGGAGCTGGATGCTGTGTTTTCAGGTATTCCAGAAATGAACATCATAGTGTTTAGTTAGTTATTTATCAAATGCCTGTGTCATGTCTGTTTAACTGGTTCTAGCTACTGGCACTAAATGGGAGACCAGGAGTAGTGGGGCTTCGGCTTATTCTCCTTGTGAAGTAAAAAGCAGTGGAGTGAGGTGCACCGCCTGCCAGGCAACAGCAGGACTATTCTTCCTGGTGAATTTAAGGATAAAATAAAGCCTCACTCTTCCTCAGTGCAGGTAACTGCCTGAAAGCAGTGAGCTCACAGTTTTTACGCTCCTATTTTACATCTGTTCAGTTTTTAAGTACCAATTTGCTCAATATCCATCCTGACATATAAGACACAATTCTGCTGATAGGATGGAGCTGCTAAGGGTAAAGCAAATACCTCAAGAAATTATTCTGTGATGTGCTTGTCCCTCAGTCACCTGTGAACGAGTGTTCTTACATAGCTCGCTAATGAATCAGCCTGACCTCTCTAATAGTTTAAACAAATTCGTTCCATGTCCTCTCTGTAGCCTTCAGTCATTGGATTTTTTCTCCCACTCCATACTAGTGGGTACCTCTTCCTTGGCAGAGTACATCATGTATCTAACACTGTAGAGTAATTTACGTAACTTAATTTTTTTTCTGGTTAGCACTTCAGGTTCAAGGGCATTTGACTAGTAGGAACATTCTGTCAGCAGCAGCCTCAGCTGAGAGCACAAATTGTACCACCTGTGCTGGCTTGTTTCAACAACTTCTTATCAGCAAAAGTAGCGGTAAACATTTCTTGTCATTAGACAAAACAAACAAATAAACCAACATAACAAAAAGAAAGTGGAGAAGTCAATCTTCACCACTCCCTCCCCCCCATTTTTTACCTTGGTGTCCAAGCTCTAGCTGAAGTTCTGCTTAAGACGATCAGGACAATGCAACTCCAAACAGCCCCTGAGGTCTGTGAAGTAAATTCCCTCTCAGGAGAATCATCCTTTTGTTTACCACTTCACAATTAGCTGAGAGTTTATGGTATCAGTATAAGATGCCATTGTAGTCCAAATCCCAGCCTACACAGAATTACAATTTTAACTCATGCTCCAGACACAGAGGTTTAATTTGCCAGCACAGAACTACATGTATCTCTGGATATTAAAACAATTTAATTTCTTTAAGCAAGTGACAACTTTTGTAAAACCAACACATTTGAGCTGACCCATAATAAAAGCAAATCAGTATCTTCCTTCTTAGAAAATACTTTTATAGTGCAGAATCTTATAGAACAGCAGCCTATACAGACTTTCTGCCTTCATGACTGTTTCCTATTATATGAATGAGAAAAATTCTAGCTAATATAAAATACATTAAGAAAGAAATTATAATTTAATTTTAGCTATGAAAAAGACAAAGAATGAAGAACACATACAATGAAACTTCCATATGAATTTTAATTTTATGGTTGACAAACATTCTTAATCAAGAATCACTCCTACTGCAGCGACTACAAGCTGAGCATTTTCATTATGTAGAATGATAAATCAGAACAGTTTCAGAATTAGTTTATCTGCTTCTGTCTGTAAAGACACACCCTAAGAACCTATCTTCTTAGCTGGAACGATGTAAAAAGCAACCCATGAATAGTTAATTAAATGCTTGCCTTACTCATAAAGACTATATATCTCAATACCTGAAATACATGCATCTGATATGATGTATATGAAAAATAAAACTTTTGTTTACACTAAATCGATTAGGACAACACTAAAAGAAACAAAATGATTAAGACAATATATTTTCATCAGATAACACTCTAGTGACACTTCCCCCATCCCGCTATTTTCCATCCTGTGACGTTCTTTGTCCCATCTAAACAAGACATGTAAGTAAGTCACAAGAATCCTTACTCTTCTGTGCTCTTCTTTCTTCAGTTGTGTAAGAGAACAAGCAATCAGAAGCAATCAGAAACAAAGAGAACCAATTGCATTTACCATGCATGTGATTCAAAGCTGTCCCACCACCTGTGGAGCCCCAAAGGGCACAACGCACACATGATCATGCCACGCCACTGCCCTACTGCCATCAGTTACGTGAGACCTCTCACCCAAGAGGCTGAAAAACAGCCTTCCTGCTTGTTTGCTAATGATACTTGGGCACTTGCTGCTTTAACCCACTCCTAATTCTGTGTTGGTCAACATCCAAATGAAGGCACCATTAGTAGGGAAATGATGGCCTCTTGGAGAGTACCCCGAGTGAACTGATTCCAGTCCTCTTAAACTGCCTTTTGTATGAGGAAAAAAGATGTATATAATTACTTTTTAGAAACTCCTACTTCTGTGACAGCTTTGCAGAGAGTAAAGAGGGGTTCTGGACCTGGGATACGAATTCAGACTGGTAAGATTGCATTGGAGTGGGAGAGACCCTAGCAGTCACTAAACTGTGATCAGTCAAACAGATTGATGAACAGCTGGAGTCAAAAATTGATGTTACCCCGCTGAGTGACCTCAGTGATTCCATCAATAACTGCCTTAATGATTGTTTTCTTCTCCTTTTTCTTCTCTTTCTTCATAGCATCACCTTAGCTTGAAATGTTGCATCATCCTCTCCAGGATGGTCTCAAAGGGCTTATCCTGCCACCCTCAGGAATTTTGTCATGAGGCTGTTAGGCAGCAGGAGGCCAAGTTGCAGCACCCTTTTGAAGAGGATTTCACCTGAGGAATCTGAGGAAGAAAGAAAAGAAAGCCTGTCAGTCTTTGAGGATACAGTGCAGTGGTCTATTGTCTGGTTACCTTCTCCAGAGCCCCCAGGTTCTTCAGAACACAGTTCTTTCCTATGTGGTTGGGAGCATCTGGACAGGTCCACTTCTGCCATAACTAACTTCTGTGAGGGATGGGAGAAGCTGAGCTCTGAGCAGGATGGGTCATCAGGTGTTGAAGAGCTCCCTCTGTTTCCCAGCCAGCAGTTCACTACAGGAGATTCTTGCTGGTGACTACAGCAGCTTTGCAGCAGGGGAAGGCAAAGTAGATACAGAAACGAGCTATTCAGTAAGGGGACAGGAATTAGTTTTAAGCAGTAAGGGTAGAAAGAAGTAATATATTTGATACTTTATATTGATTATGTTAGCCATCACTGAGTAAGCCAAGATCTTTCTCTTGCTCTAGATATTCCCATTGGTAGTAAATTAGACAATAGAGTTCTGAAGGTGGAATCCCACCTGTATTTTCTCCACGCTATGCTAGGGTCCATCAAGATCTTAAAATGATCTGGAGTGGTGTATTGTAGCACCTGCACGCAACACTATGTGCTACTCCACCTCTTTCTCCCTTCCTTCCCAGAAAGCAACTACCTGGACTTCCTGCTCACACAGAAGCTTGCCTATATCTCTATCTTGCCTTGGGCAATGATATAACTTTCCACAGAAAAAGTATTCTATGAAAAATTGGTATGCCAGCAAATGTGAGAGAGCACCTCTTTCTTCCTTTCTTTTAGTTGAAGACTCACAGATGAACTCATGTTTGCAAAGTGCCCACCAACACCAGGAATGAAAATGGTTCTGTGGCCTATATCCTTCCCGCAAATTCCCAGTGCCCTGAAACCACAAGGTCTACTCACTATTATGCAGAATGGAAGAGTGTGCAATGTCTACAAGAAGCCTCAGGAACAGGATTACATCAGCATTGCTCACACTCAGTAAATGATTGACTTTTCGTCAGTGCCAGAAGGTAGGAGGGGAAAATCGCACCACTGACTGACAACCACATCAGCCACTAGCATGCATTGCATCCCTAATTAAACCCGTATTCCAACATCCCCCCCCCTCACCCCCAGGATCTTTTTTGGTCATTCTGGTTTGTGCAGATGGGATGTGGCCCAGAAGTGTTGCTGTGTGTGGTGCTGGTGTCACAGTCATTAGCCCATATTCAGTTGCATTCTGGGAGAGGAAGGGATTTGTGGCAGCGTTTTGCATGCAGGAGGCTATATTACTGTGCCATGCCATAACGGTATATAGACAGAGTGAGAAAGACACTTCTCCACAGAGGAATAGAAAGATATTTCTCTTGCAAAAGACTGCAGTAGGAAAGAGGATGGCATAATAAGAAGTAAAAGGTAAGAGAACAGAGAAGGACAACAGTAAGGGTGGGAACTCGTCAAGTGGTTTCTGATGTAGCTAGCTGCCAGATGGAAGATTTCTTCTGTAGCTCCTGGGCCCTAGGGCAATTGCTTTTAAAGGCATAACAGCTCTTGGGGTTAAACCAGGGAAAAATACTCTCTCTCCCCTGCTCTGACCTAATTCCATCAGAAGTCTTAGGCATCATCTCCTACCATAAAGACTGGCCTATAAAAACAGTATACTTGTCTGGCCTGGTATACGGTAGAGAGGCACACTTCGTTCCTTATGTAGGCTGCGGCAGGAAGGGGGTAAAGATATATCTTGGGAAAAGCCCCACAGGGGTCCTCAGATATTTCTGGGAGCAAGGACCTCAGTGTGGCACTGGATGCCCTTTTCTCAGTACTGTCCTGCATGTTAGCCATACCGATGGAAGTGACCTAAGTCCCCAAAATGTTTGGTTATGTGCTTGTGTTTAGATGTGGAGATTGGATACTTCCCATTTAACTCCAGTCACTGAATGGAAGCATCTCAATGTTCTCTTTATGGTCATAGAAAGAAGACAGATACTTGCAGAGTATTTCAGATCTAAAGTAGATCGACTATACTAAAGGTACTGGTTAAACGCTGTGGAATGATTTCACTTAAAGAGCCTATGAAACTACAAAGATTATCTGGCATAAAGGGTACGTAAGGATCTGGAAGTTTGGTGAAATATTTCTTTCTGTGAATAGATATCTACTTTTACAGAAGTCCTTTATCTGAAGTCATGCTATTTTTTCTCATATCTTCTTCTGAAATCTAAATTTGCTGCCTTCCAGTTCAGCAACACTTTCACTTCTATATTAATATATACCTAAAGAGCAGAGGAAGAGGGAGAGAGAAGCTTATATGAATGAATAAGAACTGAACTGTGAGTGTGCTTATAAATCATAAAAATGATATTACCACACACTTTTCTTCTTTCTATGTTTCACGCTTTTGTCCTGTATAGTGGCACAATGTCTGCAGTTATCTAACTATAAAGTTCCTATTACAATCACTGAAACTGGGCTACTTTTCCCATTTGTCTCTACGTGATTATATATCTAGCCATAGTTACTGTATTAACACTTTCTGGGACAGGCCTCTGTTGGATAAAAAGACACAGTCATATAACTGCTTCCTATCTGCAGCTTCCCAAATCAGCTATAGGAGAAAATAATTCACAATGACTTCATTCTTTGAGCTGCTTCTGAAGTAAATAGAATTTAAAAAAAAAAAAAAAAAGAGGAAGAAGAAGAAGAAAGACAATTAAATTAGCTTTTTAAAATTATTTTCTTCTAAGTCCTCTTTTTAAATAAAATCTTTTATCTTTCTTTCACAATGAGTAGGAATTATTAATAAATATACTAGATTAATTGATCATAAGTCATCCTTTTAGATAAATTCAGTTTAAAAAAATAGTCTGCTCCTAGTAGAAGCTAATGCTACATGCAGACATCAGAAAAAAACTTTATTGTAGTGAAAATTCAAATACATATTGAACGAATAAAATCAACCAAATATTTTACTTTTCACAATACACTAGGGACATTATCTTTCACATTTCCTAAAACATTTTAAAATAAATCACACATATGAACAGCCATGACTGTAGATTAGAGCACTGCTGGGTATTCTTAAGTTGAGAGTCAAATTATACACTTCATCATTTTCCGTTGCTTTCATCCTTAAAAAGTATTATCTATGCCTTATCAGGAACAAAGGGAAAATGTATGTGCTTTTAACAAAATATCCTTTGAGGGAAAACAGTGAAGATATGTGGATGTAGCATACATTTTAACTAGCACAATGGATTATTGCTACCACTGTTCCTGCAAAATATTTAGAAATGTCTCCCTGGCTCAACATGAATGGTCATATGCATATTATACAATTGTAACATAGGTGAACATAGCTGTGGCTCTGTGGCTTGTATACAGTATTAAGGTCACTAAAAATTGTGTTTATATTAAAAATGGTCTGGGTATATTCCTGCATTCCTATTTATGATATAATGTTTTTTTTCAAAATAGAAGCAGAAATGAAATATACATATGATGCATGAATGTTAAGAGGAAAATGTCTTTACCACTTCTTGGGAATCAAATAAATTAAGATTGAAAACTTGATAAACAGCGGGAGATAAGAATGGAAGAAAAACAGAAACCCCAAATCAGGATTCTTTTGACCAATTAGAAATAAAGCGAAGGCAGACAAGCAACTGGAGTACAGTAACATGAAAAAGCACAGATCATCAGGACCTTGGTTCTGTCTTATTCTGAAGATTCTGTGCATCAAACAATTCATCACTGTACTGCGGCACTAGTGAAGTCCTCGGGGAAGACATGGGCCTGCTGATTCATGGGTTCTCTTTCTTAGAGGACTCTCGTGTAAATACTGGTCACACCAGCTCATTTAGCTCACTCCCCTCGGTGGTACAGTTTGTCAGCTATCAATCAAACCAATTTTTTCTCCAGCTACTGTACTGTCAACATTTGTACGACTTTGCAGAAGTCATATGTAAGGACACTAAAGTTTGGGAAGTGTTTGTCATAATTTATTTTTATTATTTTTTGGGGTAGAGGGTGGTCAGATGCCAGCAGGAGGTATGATGTATGCTTTACTGGAGAATAACAGTCTTTGAATAAGATCAGAGCTCACTGCTTTACATTTTGCCAGCTTGCAGCATATTCAGGAACCTCTTATCAAAACTCAGTAAGCATTGTGTGAATCACTGCATTTTTAAAATCTGATAAAACATCTCAAAAGGGCCAAAAAAAAGGCTATATATTTTGACAAATATATATTTCTTTCAGCCCATGCTATATATACCATGTATAGAGGCTTTTTATTTGTCTTCCTTGACAAAGTTCCCAATTTAATGATACCATTGTCTATATACTTTGAGAAATATTTCCTCCCCAGAATAAGTATTGAGGTATAAAATGCTGATGTCACTATAAAGCACAAAAGACATACAGCAGATCTGGGAAAAAATCCAAAGTGCTTCATACTGGCTTTTCTGTCAAGCTCAGACTTTTTTACCTGAAGCCCTCAGTTCTCAAAAGCACAGAATTATCTTTGAAGATAATGCAAGTTTTTTGCTTGAAAACATTAGACTTGTGTGAATGGAATGCAATATGTCAGCTCATTTATCAGAAAAAAAAAAAAAAAACCTTCCCAAAACCCACTGCTTAATAATTATGTGGCCACTTATCATCTAGAAACATAATTTTTTTTGGTGCTCTTTTCTCAGTACTAGGTCTTTATAAATCTTTCCCAGCGCTTTGCGTATTTCAGTGAAAGTGTGTATGGCTAGTTAGCAGGGAGGCATTTTAACCAGTGCTCTCTCTTTAGGAAATAGTTTCAAAGTGTAATCAGCAAAACTACGTGAAGGAAGCAGTCAGACATTTAAGTTCTACCATTAGCAATGGAAAGGATATCAAGCAAGTGTCTCCAGACAGAAAGGATGATGTAGTTGATTTTAGTCATGCAGTCCAGAAAGACTTCTGATTTGAAGCTAAACAGTACAAAACTGACCCAGAAAATAAGATAAAAATTGAGTTGATTATAAGCGAGGGCTAGTTT